CCTGATGGCCTCAGATTCTGACAGGCCATGAGCAGGCTCCAGTCCTGACTGTCTGGTCAGGCTGGGGCCATTGAGCTCCAGCTCATCCCTGGGGGCTGTAAGGCCAAACAGGAATGTCAGAGGCCTGCCAGGCCTGGACCAGGCCATGCCCGACCAGAGCACTGCCCCCAGCCCTCCAGGAGCCCATGCGCTTTGCCGTGCCCAGCCTGGGCACTGGCCCCAGCCCAGGGACACCCGCCTGCTTTGCCTCATACCCGTGCCGAGACCAGCACAGCTGTCACACTCCCAGTGGGTTGTCCTCACTGTCAGGCCAGAGCAGCGCCTGTGGGTGCCCTCGGCAGCACAGGAGGAGCACAGGAGCAGCTTCCAGGGCCTGCGGAAGCAAACGGGTTGATGGCTCTGAAGACAAAGTGTCCCAGCACGGGATTGTGCAGCCCAGCACCACTGGCTCCTTCTGCTTTGAGCCCTTCCCGAGACACAGGTTCCCTGCAGAGCCCCGGGTGCAGCTTCCCAACTCACCCCTCTTCCTCTGCCTCCTCCCTGCCTCCTGGGTAAAGGCATTCCCTGGCATTGCACGTGTTGTGCCTCTCTCCTAGATCTGCAAAGGCATTGTTGTCCTCCCATGTTGGCAGTCTGACGGAGAAAGGAAAAGCTGATGTGTTTCTGCTGCCCTGACCCCATGGAGGTAACAGGGTGTCCCTGTACTTCCTCCAATGCTTTTCCATGTCCCCTGAGGGGCAGAAATCCAGACTCCCTGGATAGGGCTGTCTTGGACTATTGGGGCAGGGCCTGGCACAGTATGGCACTTACACCCCGTCTTGTGAGTCACACTGAAGGACACCAACCTAATGGGGGTTCGGATCCCCAGAAAGAACACTTCGACAAGGAATGTCTCACGGTCTCTGCAGAGGGGGCAGCAGAAGGACGAATGCTGCTGAGCACCTGCTGTGTCCCAGGCCTGAGGGCATGGCTCCCACCTGGAGGCAGTCCCTGTGGAACCAGGCTCTTTTGCACGCCGGGCACACGATGGTGTTGAACGTCTTCCTGTCCTCCACTGGCTCCATGCAGATGGGGCATTCGGTGCCCGGCTCTGGAGTCACCTGCACGTCCTGCTTTGGACGGTGCTCAGGGCAGTAGGCCCTGGGGGCAAAGGGATGGGCATAATGAGAAAGACTTGGTCCTTCCCTGGGGGTGGCCAGAAGGGGAGAGGAGCTACCTAAATGGAACAATGTACTGTGTCACACAGCCGCCCTCCTTGGCACAGGGCAGGTGGAACCATCTGTCGCAGCCTTCTTTGCAGCACAGGATGGTGGCCCCGCTCTGGCCGCAGACGCAGCAGTGCTGGAATGAGCCAAGCAGCCCCATCAGTGGCAGCCTCGGGGCCTCCCCACACAGCCCCAGGGCTCCGGGCAGGGCGCAGGATGGGGCCGCTGCTGGCTCTCAGCCCTCAGAGCCAGCTGGTGAAGGAAGCTCCTGTGCCAGAGGCTCCACGGAACTGCTGGGAGCCAGACTTTGTCCCACAGCCGTCTGCATGGCCGGACTTTCTTTCTGGGGGTATGGGCTAAGCTCTGGCCAGCCTGTCCTGGCACAAATGTCCCTGCTCTTTTGCCAGGCTCTCACCTTCTGTGCCGCCCGCCTGACTGCAAGTTGGATATCTCGAGGCAGAAAACCCAGGAGTCCAACACGTTTCTTGGCTTGCTGGAAAAGCAGTGTGGCAAAATACTGCAGAAAGGGAGAAGAGCTGATGAGGACAGGGTGGCAGGGACTGCCCATTGCAATGCTGGAGAGAGTGCCCAGAGCCACTCACCAGGCAGAACACGTGGGCACAGAGCCCGTATTTCTCCTGTTTGTCGCCGCAGATGTCTGGGTCAGCCTCTACACGGCGACACAACAGGCATTCTGCAGGGGACAGAGCCAATGGCAGCGGGCATGAGTAGCTCTGTGGAGCTCTCAGCCCGCAGCATCAGCCCTAAGGGCTGCTCTGTCCCTGCCTGCGTGCCTGGCTGATGGGCAGGGCTGGAGGCCTTGGAGAGCAGCGGCCATTGCGGGCACGGGGCTCCCAACAGCTGCCCCCTGGCCCAGCTGGGCCCCACTTGGCGAGGAAGGAGGCTCCCAGCCCTGGCCTGGCTGAGTAGCTTCTGCCTGCCCCAGCCTCTGCTCTGGGCCTCACGCTGGCCACCCCGACAGCCCCTGGGCCAGGCTGTGGGAGGGCTGCTTTGCCCTCACCTGGCTCCCTGCCATCAGGGCCCTCCTGCTCCCTGTCGCACATGGCAGCTGTCAGCGCTGAGTCCCTGTGCAGGAACGCCGCTGCCTCCGCCAGGTGCTGGACCTCTCTCTCTCTGCGGGAGAAAGAAGAGTGATGGGAGTTTGCAGAACAGGCCCAGAGCTATGAGGGTGCTACTCCCTGGTAAGCCCTGCGTGAGCCCTGCTCCTGTCCGCCTTCTGCTCCCGTCGTCGCGTTGAGGAACACCGCCGTCTCCTCTGGATGTTCCTGCGCTGATTCTGGGAAGTGAGAGGCAGGTGAGCCTGCAGCACAGGCCCAGAGCCCCGAGGTGTGGGGCCCCTCTGGTCCCTGGGCAGCTGCTTCCCTGCCTTACCTTCTCCTCCCGTTGCCAGGTCGCACTGACACACGGCCTGAGCCCAGCCTTCCCTTTTGGGGCTTTGGTTGCACGCGTCACAATGGCCACTCTGACATCAGCATCTTGCTCCCAAAGTTCAGGCAGCCATGGCCTCAGTTGCCCGGCAGCCACTTGAGGCCACCCCCTTGGGAACCGAGGTTCTGAGATGGTTCCAAGCCTTTGGTCAGCACGGAACCAGGACAGAGACTCCTGCAGCAAGTGCAGGGTCCAATCCCAGGCCCCAGGGCAGTCATCGAGGGTGGCACTGTAGGCAGAAAGGTGCTGTTCAGGCACGGCTACGCCAGGGCTCCTGCCCCTGACAGTCAGTTGCCCAGAGAGCTTGTGCAGAGTC